TGCCTACCGCCGCTCCGAGCTGCTGCTGCCGCACCCGCACGCCCTCGACGCCGCGGGCCTGGCCGAGAACCTGGGGCTGCACGACGTGGCGCACCAGATGGAGGAGGTGCAGGTGAGCGCACGCCCCCCGGGCCCGCCTGCCCCGGGGCTCCCCTCGCCCTCCCCCCCAGCTCCCCAAACCAAACCTAAAGCAAACTTTGTTCTTTCTCCTCCCAGAATGTGGACGACCAGCATCTTCTCCTCCACGACCAGACCGTCATCCGCAAAGGTAACCCGAGGCGTTTCCTGCGCCGTGGGAGGGGGGCACTTGGTGTCGTGGACGGGTGCGACCGCGCCCTCGAGGAAACCAGGCTTCGGGGAAGTGGCATGCGACAACTTCTTTCTGCCCTGAAGCGCAGCGGACCAGGGAGGCCCTTGGAAGCTTTTTAAAAACAAAACCAACTAGGCTTTAGAGATTGCTTTTATTTGGATCCGGGGGGGGGGGGTTGGATCGAGATCCGCGTGAGTGCCGGACGCCGGGTCGCCCGCACCCCTTCCCTCGCTCCCTCGCTCCCCCGCTCCCCAGCTAAGGGGCTTGGGGCTGGCGAGGTTCGCCTCCCCTGGGAACTGGGACCCTCGGCGTGGGGGAGGGGCTCCACCGCCCGGGAAAGCCCGCCGGAGGTTTCACACGGTGATTTCATTAATCTGAAATCCATTGGCAACCACCTCCCCGGGAATGATTGGGTCTGTGACAGTTCTTAATGGTTGATTGAGTGGGTGTGATTTTTTCCCCCCACTTGTGATTTCAAGGATGAATTTTGAGAGGATCCCTAATTCTGATTTGTGTGGATGAAAGGTTTTGGGCAAGTCTGGCCTACCAAAAAAACAAAACAACAAAAAACTGTGCACCGGGACCAGGGCTCGTGATCTGTCTCCTCCCCTCCCCCTTGCTGGTTTTTGTTGGGAGCAAGGGATGAGAAAAAATTGTATTACCCTTGAGCGAGTGGTTCATGAAATTGAGTTCTTGTGCTGAACTGTCAGGCTGGCTGTTTGGGTGGAAAGATGGACAGATACTCTTAAAAGTAGTTAAGGTTGGTGATATGGAATCAAACTGCTTGAATATATTGCAATAGGTGTGGAGGCTGGGGAGAAATTTGGAAAATAAAATTTCCCAGTAAACTTAAACTGAATGGATTAATGGGTGTTAATGAGAGCACTTCTACAGAAGGCTTTTGGGAGCAGGGTCTGAATCCTGTGGGTTTAGTTCAGGGATTCTCAGGGGGTGGGACTGGTATTGAAGCGGCTTCTGAAGGCAAATGTTCTAATTAAGCAGATTACAGAGGTAGCCAGGAACTGGGTGGGAAAAAAAAAACATGCTTGGGATCTTGACTAATTAACTTTGCAAGGTGTTAACTTGTGAATTTCACATTTGATTTATCTTTGAAGAAGGAATATGACTTAGAAATAAGAAAAGGAAATAAGAAAAAGACCTGGCGGTGTGGAGGTTTCTTGTCGGAAAACCACTTAGTTTAGCCCATTCCTGGTTGGGAAAAAGATTCTGCTGAGGCTGGGCTTTGGTGACCCACAGGACTGGTCTCTCTTCAACAGGCCCCATCTCCATGACCAAGAACCCACTGGGTCTGCCGTGTCAGAAGGAGCTGGTGGGGGCTGTGATGAACCCCAGCGAGGTCTTCTGTTCTGTCCCGGGAAGATTGTCCCTCCTCAGTTCCACATCCAAATACAAAGTGACGGTGGCCGAAGTGCAGCGGCGGCTCTCCCCACCCGAGTGCTTGAACGCCTCGCTCTTGGGAGGCGTGCTCAGAAGGTACTGGGGGGCCCTGCGGTCTGCACTTGGGTAGTTGAAGGTGAATGTATAGAGAACCTGGGAGGTATTTTTAACGTTTATGTAACTTGTATGCCTAACGCTGAATTCTAATCGGCTCAGCGAGAGATTTAGTACACTCCTTCTCTTTTAGAAAGTGCCAAATGCAGAAGGAAGTGTTAAAACGATGCTAACAAATTATCATCTGGTTAGGATTCAATTTTACGGGCTAACATCTGTATTGAGAAGGGAGGCTTTTGTCTCCCCCCCCCCCCCTTACACACACAGGGAGATGGGGGGGAGGTACAGTTTTCTAAGTTGAAAATGTATTATCTACCGCAATACTGCATGTGATGCTTTGTGCTCATCAGAAAATAAAAGGGGTGGTAGAAGGTTTGTTTTTTAATTTTCCATATTTTTAAAAATTATGATCTACAAATTGAAATAGCCTGACAGATTTCAACTTTAGAAGGTAGAGTTTATTTTATTGTTTTATTTTTGTGTGTGCTGGTACTTTGAACTGTGGGGTCTGGCCACTGTCCCTGAACTTTTTTTTTTTTTTTGACTCAAGGCTAGTACTTTACCACTTGAGCCACAGTTCCACTTTGGCTTTTTGGTGATTAATTGGAGATAAAAGCCTCAGTGACTTTCCTGCCTGGGTGGCTTTGAAGCATGATCCTCAGGTCTCATCCTCTTGAGTAGCTAGGATTACAGGCATGAGCACCTGGTGCTAAGAAGACCCATTAGTCAAAGGGTAGAGTGTTTTGTTTTATTGACAGTAGCCAATTTTCTTTTTCCCAGAGCCAAGTCCAAAAATGGAGGACGATCTCTGAGGGAGAAGTTAGACAAGATCGGTCTGAACCTTCCAGCAGGGAGACGGAAAGCTGCTCACGTGACCCTGCTGACATCTTTGGTGGAAGGTCAGTCCTGCTGGGGGCTCTTGGGAAATGGTTTTAATTTGTGCTGTCTTTAATACTTCTGCAAAAGAAAAGCCAGACCAAGACTCTTTTAAGACATGGTCCCAAGCAGGGAGAGATGAAAGCAAGTTGAATTGTTCTGTTCCTGTTAATGAATCCATTTTGTCTGAAAGAGTTCACAGCCTTGTATCTGACAGCTCCTGGCTTCTGAGTTCCTTGGAGAATCCATGCCCAAAGAAATTGGTTTTCTTAGCCTCAGATCGTATATATCTATATATTTCAGACCAGCAAAAATGTTTACTGTTAAATGAACTTAGATTTGAAGGAGGGGGCTGATGGAGGACTGTACTTTTATTTACCTGGTTAGTTTTAATGTTGGGCAGAATGAAGTATGGTTGTTTTTTGTTTGTTTGTTTGTTTTCCCTGTGGAATCCTGGGCTCATGGTCCTTGCATACTCCAGCCCTTACCTAACTTGCCATTCCTTCTCATCAAGAGACAAGAAAGCAATAGAACCCCTGGCCAGAGAGAGAGGCCCTCTCCCCAGTCTTCAGATTATTGTCCCCGTAAATGGCATTGGAGTCTCCTGAATGGAAGACTCTCCTCCCCCACCTGGAAAGCAGCCAAGAATGCAGTCCAACCCTTAAAAAAGGGGTGTGTGTGGGGGGAAGCAGCAAAGCAGCACCTCCTGACTGCGGGAAGGTGGGGCTGGACACAGACTGCCCCCCAGAGCAGCCCCTCCTCAGCCCCTGGTGCGGTCCTCAGCTACCGGCTCTGGACCTGGGCAGGCTCCAGCTCTGTGGCACTGCAATGTTCTGAAGACATTTCCTCCGCCTCGTGATAGCTGTGCTGAAACAACTGAACCTGAATCAATGGGGGGGCGGGGGGGGGAGAAGGGGACCTCAGCCACCACCTGGGTCTTTGCAAGACTCTCCAGGCCTCTGCCCTGGAACAGGACAGCCCCCAACGCCCCTTGCTCCTGCAGTCCTCTCTCCTGGTGTTCTTCTCTTCTCCTGTACTTTGGATGGAGGAGGCAGTGTTCCAAGATGATTATCCAGGCTGAGAGTCCTGGGTTTCCCATAGGAACCACCCCCCCACCCCCCGCTTTTTTTTCTTTTGTCAGTCTTGGGTCTTGAACTCTGGGCCTGGGCATGTCCCTCAGCTCTTCAGTTCAAGGTTAGCGCTCTACCACTTGAGCCACAGAGCCACTTCTGTTTTTTTCTGGAGGTTAATTGAATAGTCTCACCTACGTTCTTGCCCATGCTGGCTTTGAACCTTGCTCCTCAGCTTTCAGCCTTCTGAGTAGCTAGGATGACAGGCTTGAGCCACAGGCTGGCCTTTCACCCTCCTTTTTTTGTTTTGGCTGGGGATTGGGTTTAGGTCAGAGAACGCACACTAGGACGGTGCTCAGTGCAGCTGAGATCTCAGTCTTTGTTTGTTTACTTGTTCTTTTACCCTAAGGCCCAGGGTGGCCTTGAACCACCCTTCCAGATTTAGCCTCCCCCATGATGGGATTACAGGCATTCATTCACCACTACCCCCACATTAATCTTCCTGCCTCTTTTAAAAGAAATAGTCTAGAAGCCTGCCTGCTCTGTTTCTTCTTCTTACTGATACTACTACTACTACTAATTATTTATTGTTAAAAGTAGTAGGCCTTAAACTCCAGACCTTGTGCTCTTATTTGGCTTTTTTCACTTAAGGCTGGCACTCAACCACCTGAGTTACACCCCCACTCCGGCCTTTTCACTGGTTAATTGGACATAGGAGTCACATGGACTCATGGCCTGGGCTGGCTTTGAACTTTAATCCTCCAAATTGTGGCCTCCTAAGCAGCTAGGATTGTAAGTAGGAGCCATCAGTGGCAGTGCTCTGCTTTAGCCCCTCTAGCCCCTTTTGCTTTTTCAATAGGGTCTTTTTATTTTTTTATTTTTTAGGTCTGTTGTGGGGCTTGAATTCTGGGCCTACATGCTATCTTTAAAAGCTTCTTTTGCTCAAGGCTCCACCACTTGAGCCACAGCACCACTTCTGGCTTTTTCTGAGTAGTTTAATGGAGATGAGAGTCTTTCCTGCTGACTTGAACCACAGCCCTCAGATCTCAGCCTCCTGAGTAGCTAGGATTACAGGCGTGAGCCACCAGCGCCCGGCTTGAGGATCACAGTTCTAAGCTAGCCTTGGCAGGAAAGTCCATGAAACTTTTTTCTAATTAACCACCAAAAAGCCACAAGTGGAATTGTGACTCAAGTGGTAGAATGCCAGCCTTGTGCACAAAAGCTCAGGGACAGTGTCCAGGCCCTGAGTTCAAGTCCCAGGAACAGTGCAAAGCAAGGAGTTCTTCTACCTCTTGCAGGGAGGTCTTCACACGTGGTATTTCCAGGGCAGGATTGCTGGCAGGTCCCTGACAACTCAGTCTGCCCACCGCAGTGTGCCCTGCCCGCGATTGTGTTTTAGGAGGCAGAGTGGCTGGGAGACAATGGATGCCAGAGAGGGAGGGAGGGAGGCAGGCTGGCAGGCCAGTCTTCAGTGGTGGCCACAGCCGTCTCAGAGCCTGATCACAATATTGTTGCAGGTGAGGCTGTTCATTTGGCACGGGACTTTGCCTATGTCTGTGAAGCTGAGTTTCCCAGTAAGCCTGTGGCAGAGTATTTAACTAGACCTCACCTCGGAGGACGGAATGAGATGGCAGCGAGGAAGAGTATGCTCCTCGCAGCACAGTGAGTATCGCCTGTGGCAAACCCCAGGGTGGAGAGCCCAGTACTGGCTTCAGGACAGAAATGTCACAAACGGGGCTGTGTGTGTGTGTGTGTGTGTGCGTGTGTGCGTGCGTGTGCGTGCGTGTGCACGCGGAAGAGAAAAGCCAGTATGTTTATTTAGATGCAAAGATCAGAGTAAATTCATGAGAGACTTGTGGGAAAATTGGCTCCAAAGTGACTTTCATGCAACAGTGGAGTTTCTACTCTGAGAAACTTAACAGTGCCTCATTTTAGAATCCTGCTCAGTGAAGCAGGAGTCAAATCTTGTTAAATGAAGTCAATTCAAAAGATGAAGCAAGAAGCCAGTGAACCAGCCTCTCTGCCATGGCCAGTTTCCGCCATTGTGTCGGTTCTTGAGGTTTCTTTTTTTTCTTTTTGTTGGTCGTGTGGCTTGAACTCTGGGCCTAGGTGCTGTCCCTCAGCTCTTCAGCTCAAGGTGAGCACTCTACTGCTTGAGCCACTGCGCCACTTCTGGTTTTCTGAGAGGTTTATTGGAGATTAGAATTTCAAGGACTTTGCTGCCTGGGCTGGCTTTGAATTGTAATCCTCAGCTCTCAGCCTCCTGAGTAGCTAGGATGTCAAGCGTGAGCTACCTGTGCAGGCTTCTTTGGGTTTCTGATAGTGTTTATTTATTGCAACCAATTTGTACCAAAGTAAACTAGTCCCTTAACCTCTAGGTCCTGGTGACCTTGGTTAGCTGACTGGAATTAATCCTATTATCTTTATTCCTGTGCCACACAAACCAAATGAGATCCTACTTGGAGGGAGCTCAGCCTAGCAGGGTGTGGCACACAGTAGGTGCTAAGTGTGACCTCAGTCAAACCTGGTTGGTGCTCCTGGGGTGGATCTGCCCAGGGCCAGGGAAGGCTCACAGGGGTCAACCCGCTGTCTCCACAGGCAAGTGTGTAAAGAATTCACAGACCTCCTCAATCAGGACCGAACCCCCAATGGGAACAGCAGGCCCACTCCAGTGTTAGAGACGAGCATACAGAACTGCCTGTCTCACTTCAGCCTAATTACCCACGGCTTCGGCAGCCAGGCCATCTGCGCAGCCGTGTCCGCGCTACAAAACTACATCAAAGAAGCCTTGATGGCCATAGACAAATCCTACATGAGCCCCGGAGACCAGAGCCCGGCGGATTCCAAGAGCCTGGAGAAAATGGACAAGCACAGGAAGTGACCGGCGGGGACAGAGGACCAGAGAGTGGGGAAGGGAAGGGACCGCGAGGCCCTGTCCCCCCACTCGGACACACTAGGACCCCTCTGGCCCCGGGGGAAGAGTGTTCTGCTGTTGTTTCCCTTTTTGCCTACCTTGCTGTCAGAAAAGCCTCCCCTTGTTTCCGGATGCCAGCCCTCTCCACCCGCTTGCCCCATGTCAGGTGGCGTAGCAGGCTGAAGTCTCTCACTTCGGATATACAGTCTACCCAGTGCAAGGCGCCAGGCACTGGGGGTTTTGTTTTTGTTTTTTTGTTTTTCTGGTTTTTTTTTTTTGGTTGGTTGATTCGTTTTTCCACTCAATGTTTGGTGTTTGTTCTTTGGAACTCATCATTTTTCTCTGAACACGGTGCTACAAGATTTAGAACCTTTTTTTTTTTAATTTGATAAATTCCCTGGGCTTGTCAAGAAACCACACTCTCAAGCTGCTGATGCCGGAAAAAAGGGATGAATTTCAGAGCCACAGCCACTCTTTATTTTCAGTATTAACTTAATGGTTGGTTTTTAGGTCCTCTAGATGATTCATCTAAAAATGGGTATTTATCTAACGTCTTCGGAGATCGGACCCCTTTGGCGGGAGGCAAAGGTTCTGTGTCTAGCAAGCCGAGAAAACCTGCAACCCCATGTTCACAGGGGGCCTCTGGCTTTAGGAAATTTGTAGAAATACAGCCTGCTGATGATGTCATTTTCTTGTCTCGTCTTTTTTTTTTCTTGGAAAGTTGTGATTCTTTAAAGGGGAGACTCGTTGAACCGACATGTTCCTTTAAGATACGGAAGCTTTATTTGCATATTTATTTCAGATCTTGATTTTTTTTTCTTCTCTCCATTAAACTTGAAAAGGGTAAGCAGGAAGTGCTAGCCGCAGCCTGCCACCTCCCAAGCCCCTGCAGAGACTCTGTATTTTGAGAAACTGTATTGACTGTATAGATTTTATTTATGCATAATTTAATGGGGTCTGTAAATACTGGCATACTTCCTAAAACTTTGGGGGACACAGGGTCAGATTTAATCTTTAACGGTGATGGGTAATCAATGGCACATCTTTAAATTTTATTCAGATATATACACAGGGTATGAAGAATGAAGAAAACACTTGGCTTCATTTATGGTATGTAGCAGGTTCTATTGAATTCAAGCTCTCTGTCCAAAAAAAGCAATAAGTTTGTGTCTCATTCCTGTAGGGCTGAACTCTAAGATGAATGTGTGGCGTAGCTTGTGTGGGTGAAATGGAGATTTGGAATTGAACTTCGTGCTCAGAAATGTTCCCCAAGTGATTGTTGTGTGTATGTATGATACCTGTATAATAAAAAAAAATATTCTCAATAGAATCTGTGACGGCCTGGTTCTAACCTGGTTCTCTCTTTATCTATCTGTCGCTCTCTCTTTCTCTCTCTCTCTCTCTCTCTCTCTCTCCCTCCCTCCCTCCCACCTTCTATCTCCATGCCCCCACCCCCACCCCCAATCTCCAGGATGGTACCTGAAGTTTTATTTCTCTCCCTGGCAACACTGCTCAGGGGTGCTGAGTGTTGACAGTGTCTTTCGCCAGCTGGCGGTCCCATTCTGTCTAGGGTGTTAGGGGGTTTGGGGGGACAGTCAACTGACTTGGAGAAAGAAGTGCCAACTGTTTTTAGTGTCTGCCACTATTGGGGCTTGAACTCAGGGCCTTATATTCTTCCTTAGCTTTTCCTGTTAAGGCTGGCACTCTACCACTTGGAGCCACACCTTCTGGCATGTTCCGGCTAGTTGGAGATAAGAATCTCTTAGATTGGTCTGCCTAGACTAGTTTTGAACTGTGATCTTACAATCTCAGCCTCCTGAGTAGCTGGGATTACAGGCATGAGCACTGGCACCTGCCCCCCAGCGTTTTTTGTGCGTGTGCTGGGGGTTGAACTCCGCATTGGGTGTGCTGCAGCACATGAATTAGAGCATGTGGAGAGCCGTGTCCGAGGGACGGCTCCTGCTGGGCACAGGTGCGTTGCTGTCTGGTGTTGGGGTCACTGCAAACATTCCCGAGGCAGCTTCTCCTTTGGGGACAATCACAAGCCAGTGGCAAAAGGTGTGGAAGGCAGCAGAGCACTGAGAATTTCTCCTGCTCAGGCGACCCTTGTCTCCTCGCCCGGGCATCCTAGTCACTTGGCCTTCCTGCAGGGGACTTGGAGACCCGGTCTTTGCCTGGGGAGAGGGCGCTCCTGGCTGGAGGTGAAGAGGCTCTCTGATGCACACATCGGGCACTTGATCTCAGGCTGAAGTATCCTGGCCTTTCCTCCAGGAAGTGGTGTGTTTATACTTTGGCATGTGTGGCCTGGCTTCAAAGGGACGTGGGAGAGAAAGGATTTTCCACATTGGATAAGGCTATTGCTTCAGCTCGAGTCTCATAATCCTTAATTCATAATTCTCTATGAAACGCTCGGCAATTCTTGACTTAATGTTGGCATTGGATGGCCTGAAGTAATTTAAGCTCTGCCAACTTCAGACTTCGCTCTTGGCAGCTCAGTGTTCCCATTAAGTTGGATTTATCGGACTGATATGTCAAGATCACAATTGTTTTGCTTTAAAGCTGCGAAAAGAGGTCTTAGGTTGGCAGTGATTTCTCAATCAAGACTTAAGACGTGGGGGTGTTAGGCGGAAGTCACGGGGGAAGAGGAGGATGGATTTCTTATCGACAACCTGCTTTTGGACTAGAAGTTGGCTTGGAGCAGCTGTGCCGAATTGTGCTGCCGACAATGTTTTGGAAATGAACCAAAGTCAATCCAGGACTGAGGAGTGAGTCATAGACAGGCCCTGGCCCTCACCCGCCTGCTTCCCTGAATCTTTGTTCCCATTTCATGTACTAGGAGCAGCAACTCTGCTCCTTGGATCTGGGGTACAAGGATAACAAGGGAGTGGGGTGCTGGTGGCTCACATCCAAGGCTGAGATCTGAGGACTGTGGTTCAAAGCCAGCTCAGACAGGAATGTCAGTGAGACTCTTATCTCCAATTCACCAGCAAAAAAGAGCCTGAAGTGGAGCTGTGGTGGTTCAAATGGTAGAACATCAGCCTTGAAAAAGCCAAGAATGAACGCAAGACCCTGAGTTCCAGCCCCAGTGCTGGTATCAAAAAAAGGAAGGAAGGAAGGAAATGACTGTTTCTGAGTAGTGCCCCTGAGCTGGTACTGGGGAAGCCAGGAGGTAATTTTCTCTGCTTAAGCCAAAGGGCACCATCCATGGTCAGAGAGAGCCTATCAGCCAGAGCGCATGCCCACAGCGGGTAGCAGACCCATGGGACTCTGCGTGTGCTGGCTGGAGATGCATCCGGAGGCCTGGCCCCTTCTGGATGCCATCCCTCTTTTCCTGCGGATGGCACACCTGTGGGTCTCGTCCAGGGCAGAGAGGGTGTCTCCACCAGCAGGCATGGTTGTCTTATCTTGCATGTGTGTGTGATTTAAGTTGTGGCCAAGGCAGGGAAGATTTCGGCTGTTTCTCATTTGAAACCATTCCATAACAATGACAGTCATTCTTCCCCCCCCCCCCCATGGTGGGGGTGGGGGTCTAGTGTCAGGCTGAGCACTGAGACCTAAACTTCCTGGATTTGGATGTTGAAAACCAAAGCGAAACAAGGTCGGGTCACGGACGGGTGAGGAACAAAGAGAAGCTTCTCTTGTCTCGGGGCTTGGCGGTGGTGGGGCCGCCGGAGCCCACGGCCTGGCTCCTCCGGGATCGTTGGCAATGCCGCCTCCTGCAAGGGCGGCTGCGCCCCCAGAGCCAGGCCCTTCCTGCCATCAGCCTTTCTCCGCAGCCTGGTGGAGGGTGAGCCAAGGTGCAGTGACACCTGCCTGAGTGGAGCAGCAGGGCACGGCTTGGAAGTGGCTCCATAGAAGAAGGAGAGCCCGAGGTCCTTCTAGGTTAGACAGGGTGGGTTCTGTACTCTGCATGGCCATGCAGTCTCCATGGCTACCTGAGTCCCCGGGACCGGAGGGTGCGGGGGAGGGAAGGGGGAGTCCTGGCTGCCACTCATGGTCTCATCGTCCAGAAGGTCCACCTTTTTAGGAGGATGTTGACTTCCCTTCCTCCAGATACACCGTGTGTTTCTCTTCCAGCTGACCATCCCCATTTGTCCTCCACGGGGAGGAAGGGTGACACCCCGAGCTGCCAAACCCTGACCCCTTCCTGGTTGTACCAACCCAGGCCGGCATGGTGGCCAACGGCTGATCTGATGATGCAAGGCAGATTGTGCCTTGAAAGTTGTCCATCTGCATCAGAAGGAACCGGGAAAGCATACAACAGAGGGGCCCATCAGCAGCACTGGACACAGAGGAAAAGGAGCTAAGCAATTCAAGGACAGCGATGGGAGAGAGGGAATGAGAGGGAAAGAGGGAAAGAAATGTACACATCATCCAAGGTGGAAGAAATAGTTGTATTGTCAAAATCATAGAATTCACAAACTTTATAGACTATGATAATGACAATTTGCCTTGTGAAGGTTAGAATGTGTTTGTGATCTTAACTAAGTATCACTACTCCACAACACTGTGAAATATGTGAAATTTATGTAATCTAATCTCAATTAAAAAAAAAGAAAGTTCTCCATCTGCCAGTAGCAGGGAACCAGCTCCTCTGTGGAGGCAAACGACCTCATGACTTTTGAGATGACTATTACGGCAGGGTCCGGGTTTCAGGGGTGTGCTGTTGTTTTGGGCAGTGTGGTAGACAGGGTCACTTCCTGCCACCTTGGACGACATCTCTGTGGAAGGGTTGGGTACCAGTGTGGAACTTGAATAGAGTTGAAGGTGTAATTCCAGGGGTCACCAAGCAATAGCTTTGCTAAGAATATCTACAAGATCAAGCTGAGTGTCAGCTTACTCCTATAGTCCTAGTTTCTCAAGGAACTGAGATCTAAGGATAAAGGTTCAAAGCCAGCTTGGTTAGAAAAACATGAGAGACTCTTAGCCATCCAAAAAAGGTAGAAGTATGGTTCAAGTGCCAGTCTTGAGTGGAGAAAAAAACTAAGCACCTTGGCCCTGAGCTCTAGCCCTAGTGCTGTGTGTGCGTGCGCACGTGCGCACACATGCACACACACACACACACACACACAGTGACAGCTATGTTGAAGTGTCACACGGTCTACTATGCTTTCCTCAGTGGTTCATAAGGTGCATTCTGCTGTGGGAATGGAATATGTTCCCTTGTGTATGGATGTTGGCCATTTGAGGTGTTGTAGGTGTATGGGAACCAAGGCTGGCTTTGAACTCTTGTTCCTCTTGCCTTCACCTCCTAAGT